CCAATTTCTCTAGAATACGACAATTCGAGGAAAAGCTCGCTTCAATTGGATTTGCCAAATTACTCAGAAGTTTGTTATAACAGTGGAGAGGACTTGGAAAAGGGTTTGTTTACACGCTTCCCTCCTTCCTACAATCAACTTCAAATGAGTAGCAGAGTCGAATCCGATAGTAATCAAAATCATGCGAATGAAGTGCGTGAACGCATGGCAGAACCCGTGCCAGACAGATCATGGGGAAGCTGTATCCTCGATTGCATCTGCATGCCGGTACGTCCCCGATTAGCACCAGCGGGCACATTGAAAGAAGCAGGATATTTTCGATGTTTTATGTGTTATCTTTATACGTCTGCTTTTATTTTCTATTTACTTTTCAAATATTCTGATAAATTGTCAGAGTTTATAAAGGATTCATCTTTGTCTAAGGAAATTGCTTTACCTTTGCTTGGTGGATTGATTTTAGTTTTATTTTTTATTTCCGCTGTAATAATTTCTCGTAAGTGATTTGCATTCATCGGAAAAGCAAATTGAAGTACGTTGAATTTCTTGCTAACTTGAGTGTTTAGTTGTATTGGACATCATCGTTTGGTGTATATCTATGATTCCAGATTTGGCTGCGTTTATAGGGCATCTTCTTGAGCGTGTCTTGGGAAGAATATTTCCAAACTTCTGGAGAAAATTTATACTGCCTTTGACAATCATTTTCGGTTATAGAACTGATCAAAGCTTCGGGATTGATCTAGACTCAACAAATACCGTTGAACTTGACGAGCTAGAAGCTAGTGTTGAGACTCCAACAACTGCACCTAACAATGTTGAAGTGCCAAGTTGTCCTCTTGGGAAAAGCCCTACCAAAGCAAATCATTCAAAAAATTCTGTTGGGCATTCTGCAAGAGAGCAAGAAATAGAGATGAAAACTTTTGGAGACACAGGCTCTCCGAGTTTGAACGATCATACAAAGTAATGTTTTTATGCTATACCCATTTTATAGAATGGTTGTTATTGTCAGCGTGTCAGTGTCCAGTTGAGATTGAGATTGAGATGTTTTACGAGCAGATTATTTTTGTATTTTATTCAAAGACATGCGTTTTTTTTCGTAGAAATTTGGGATTGTAAACAAACAATGCTGTTTGCACAGTTCCCTTTGGAAATGTGCAACATAACTTTTTCTTAAAAAGAATATTTATGAATGATTTGATTTTAGGTTGGCAACTGTGAAAGCTATCCCAAGTAACCCAAGTAAGCATTTTTGGGTTTAATATGGTATTCAGTTTCGACAATCGTCAAACAAGTTACAGTATAATAAGTTGCTTGCTATTTGGTTTCTATTATGAGGAAAAAAAAATTTCTTTCCCTTGGTTTTTTCTCATTCAAGAAGCAGCAAAAGGATGAATGACCTCATGTTATAAGTATTACAGGATAAAGAAGAAATTATGCATAATGGATGAATTTATCTCGCGAAATGATTTAATTGTTTTAGAGGCAAATCCTCCTTTTTGTCAGTACTTACTTGCCTTTCGCCAAGACCCTTTCTTATAAATAACATTCTCAAGCTGTCAGGTTCTCAATTAGCCAATGAAATGGCATACGTTATCATTTTGCTCTATGCATCACTAGGAATAGATCCTCAATATCCTTTTATTATTGGCAATGTTGAGTATGCTAGCTTTCAATTCAACCTTCATTTGAACAGGTAAATGCAGACGAATGACACCCAAAGTTCAACTCCATGCTTTCAAAGTTAGTGAGGAGGAATTGCAGTCACTTACTTTCCGTCGAAGATTGGGAATTGGCTCTTGGTAATAGCGAAGCGTTGATAGCGATATCTCAAGTTAAGTTAACGACGAGTGCGGCCAGATTCATTTTCCCAATATATTTAGCTCGTGAAGAAGATATGTGGAAAGGCATTCCCTTTTAACGATGGTACTGCCCGAAGCTTCATCTACCCATATAACTTTACTCATACAAGCTATTATACTGAGTTTGAAGAAAAGATCGAAGGAATTTTTTGCTTTGCATTGTGACGGATATTGAAGTACGGATTACCTATTGAGGCATTTTCTTAAACTTAATTTAAATCGGAATTGGAGGGGTACGACGGTTCTGCTTCGAAAGATCCTCTTATTACGTTTCTTTAATATTTACCTTTTAGTTTTCTATTGTTTGATAATTACTGGATATATGTGGTGATTTCACAACGGTCGATGCTTTTCCCAGTGCAATATGGTCTTTTGTACTCAATATTAGCTCGGCTTTTGGGCAACCTTTTTCTTTTAGTGAACAAATTCTGGTAATTTCAGCTATTCAAAATTTGTTGTTCCATGACGTCTTCAACCTCTCAAGCGATTGATCGATATATTCGTTGAAATGTTTGATACTATTTTTCATTGCTCTTAATTTTGGAGTTATGGCGTCCAATTTAAATTCATTTTGAAGGACGCATTTTTTTTTTACTCTATGTAGGTTTGGTGTTGCCATAAAGTATACTTTTTAGTAAATCTTTTGAGTTTGATTGATAAGGATTCGAACGATTTTAATTATATTTTCCTATTCATTTATCCCAGGAACCTATATCTACATCATGCACAAAATCTAAGCAATTCGAACGTATGATAAAACAATTTCTTTTTTATTGTACTGCTTTGATCGCGCCCTGTTCTATTGACATATTACAACGCCAACACATATTGGTTCTTTTTCATAGCTCCAGCATTGAGGACTTTGTACTATGGACATTCCGTTAGGGAACAGAAGATTTGGTTGGCGTATTACCGGATATAAATTTCAAAGTCTTAATAAGTTAATTACAATTTACAAGGCTGGCTGTATCAGCTCAACTAACAAAATCTTCTTAATTGAAGAGTTAGTCTCAAAACAATCAAAATTAATTTATCTGTTCTATTTCACTCAGTGAAGGCTCACTAATCTGACATAGAAGCTTAATGAAACATGTTCACTGGAAAAGAAAAGCGAGTAAACATTACAAACTTGCCGTAGCAGGACTTTTCTGAAGTTCTATTTCTTCATTTATATTTGTCGGCGAAGGGGGTAATGCATCATCCCTTTGCTGATATCTGGGAATTGTAGGTTAAACGTTCAACTTCTAAAACAAGGCATTAAATATATACTTTATAAAATGAAACATATAACACCAATAACTAACACATTAACGCTCGAATACCATTGACTAGTAATCTAGGGGCGATAGATATTAATTTCTGACACTACTTGTTAGCAAACAATAGAATTTTCCTGATAAACAAGAATACTCTACTTATGACTGAAATCAATAAAAAATATTACCCCTAGAGCAACATGACTGACTAAAATACAAAATCTACAAATACGTCAAAAAAAATAATAGAATAACCAAGGATAATTTTGAAAACGTTAAGATAATGCCCATACACACAATACCGACAAAAGTGCATATATAATATGAAAATACTTTTGGATGTTTGACGACTATATTTTTTGGAAAGTGATTATGTTTATATGATCCAAAGCTTTGCAGTTATGCTTGTTTTTAAAGGGAAAAAAAGTTTTATTCAATCTGAACTATATTTGCTCTCCTTGATTTTGAGAGAAGTTGAAATGAAAGATTTGTTTGTGTCCTTTGGGTGAGTACAAAGGAATCTTTCCTCAAAATCAAGACTGTAAACATTGGTATGGTTGTACGTAGGAGGATCTTTCGAGACTTTCAATTCTTTTTCAAAAATTTTCAAAATACATTAATTAAACTTTTAGCGATCTATTAGCACCAGATATAAAAAACAAGGTTTCTTTCTATATGTAAAACTCTTAAATTGGAACGTAATGTAAAGTTCAAGTTATTCATTTAAAACAGCTCAGATTAAACTCAAAAGTAACCCAATTGCAGGAACCGTAGGAAAACCTTGGCTCCAGCAGGAAATTTTCGCTTCCCCAATTTAATTGTTTGGTTTTCTATTACATTTTCATGAAAAAAGCATATGCCTTTTTTTTTTATTTTGTTTAGTGATTTCTGTAACACATTTTTTCTTTTTCCTTTGTCGCTTCTGCTATCAAAAATTATCTGATTTCTTTTGCTACGATATTCTTATCTGAAAATGGAAGGTTTGTTCTATGAACTAGAAGAATAAGAACCCGAATGAGAATTTACTGGAACGCGAACTTCTATTTGCTCTTCTATTGGTTTCCCCGTTAAATGTGGGTAATAGTCTAAATCTTTTTATCAGATTAAAGCAGACTGAGCTTTTAGGAAATTCCCTTGAAGATGCGAAATCAAAGTTCAGGAGCTGACAATGTCATAGAATCCTTTCGTATGACATTATTAAGGCTTTTGGACGTCAACTTGATTCACCAAAACTCATCATTAATTCTCATGACCTGACTTTTGTACAAACCCCGGATTGTTTGCTTGTTTAAGTCCGAGTGCAAGATTCTCTTCTTGGTAGTCGGTCAATTGAATCGATAAAGACTTTCTGACCTATCAAGGTTATTTTGAGCTGTGTAATGCTCTTACTGTTAGTTTTTTTGATTTTTGCACTGCTATCAGACATAAAAGAAACAATACCTGCGTTTCTACGCTTAATACTATCAGTTGACGTGTTTAAATTCCTCCAGAGCAGCCATTCATTAACGGTAAAAGCTAAGAATAGATCGACATTCGTCTAACTTCATAACGAGACAATTTGTAAGCACCTTCATTCCTATTTCTTTTTTTTTTCGTTTAATTTACTTTCCTCTTCGCTTCTTCATTAAGTAATTTCCGGTTTATATTTTCGGATACCTCTCTTGTCTCCCAGCTTTCGGGTTTATTTTATCTTCCATTCTTCGTAATTACTTTTTATAAAAATTAGTATGTCTTGTTCTAATCCGTCTTTGGACGTTCATAAGGTTCAACCTGCCACTGCAAATTCTGAACTTTATACATCACTAAGTAAATCGAAAAATGCGGTAGTTCTTCGATTCCCTCGGATTTAAGCGACCGGATGTTTGCTCATTCGCAGCAAAAGTATCCTTTCATAACTCACGGTGCTGGCGAAAAAACAAGTCATGAACATACGATTTCGAACCCACCCAGCGAGGAAGCTTGCTATCCCGCGAGTAGAGAAGATTTGGAAAATCAAGATCATTTGCAAAAGGTTTATCCAAGAGTTCGTGATCCCGAAGCTTTTAATTAAACAATTGACCCTACTTTTCCAGAATTTGCCGTCAATTGGTCCTTTTCTCGTAAACTAAAAACTACCGCTGTATATTCTTGGGCTGCGTTTTGTTCCACATATGCTTCGTCCTCTTTTCCGGCCCTAATGAAATCCTTCCCAAATTGTACCATATTGGCATGACTGTCTCTCCCATAAATACTAGTTTGTTCGTTTGCGGTTACGGTTGCGGTCCCGTTGTCTGGGGTCCCCTGTCAGAATTATATGGAAGGAAGCCTCCTGTGACCGTCGTTATGTTTGGCTTTGCTATCTTCAACATTGCGGTGGCTGTTGCTAAAGATATCCAAACAATCATGATTTGTCGATTTTTCAGTGGCTTCTTTGCTAGTAGTCCTATGGCCATCTGCGCCGCCGCTTTTGCGGATTTCTATTCGAACCAACATCGAGGTACTGCTATCACTACTTTTGCTGCCATTGTATTTGGGGGTTACTATCTCCCATCATTAGCGGATTTATTACGAAATCTTATTTGGGTTGGCAATGGATCGAGTACATTACTTCATTCATGGGCTTTTTTGCTGTTGTCATTATTCTTTTTTTTTTTGCGATGAGACTTATGCAAAGAGAATTGTAGAGAATAACGCTCAATCATATCGTGTCCGAAATAACAACTACTTTGTGCATGCCAATACTGAGGAATAGACATTAACTCCTAAAAAAGTACTCGATAACTACTTCTTGATTCCTGTCAAGCTTTTATTTACGGAACTCATTGTCTTCTTGGTCACACTCTATTCTTCTTTCGTATATGGTATTTTGTACTTGCTTTTGGAAGCGTATCTTATTATCTTTTCTAAAAAACGTCAGTTATCTATGGGTGTTGCTGAACTTCCATACATTGGTTTATTGGTAGGTGTCTTTATTGGCAGTGGCATCAACATTGCATTCGAACCTCGGTACTTTAGACAGGTGATGAAACTTGATAGAAAGCCATATCCGGAGGGTCGTCGCCACCTTTAATTATTGGTGCTTTCATCTTTCCTGCCGGTATTTTTTGGATGGCGTGGTCAGGTAACTATCCACACGTTCATTGGATTGTTCCCAGCTTGTCTGGTTTGCTTACCGGAGCCGGGATTTTGTTGAATTTTTTAAACTACCTGATTGATGCGTACTTGTTCCGTGCAGCCTCGGCGATGGCTGCTAATACAATGATGCGTAGTTCAGTTGCTGCAGGATTTCCTCTGTTCGCTATCCAAATGTTCCATAATTTGGGAGTGGGTTGAACTGGCTTTCTTTTAGGTTTTATTGCTATTGCCTTGATTCCTGTTCCCATTGTTTTTTACCTCTTTGGTAGAAAGATCCGTTCTTGGAGTAAAATGATTGTCATACACTGAGCATAATAATATTACGATCTATGTTTAACTGTCTGCATGTTTTAACATTTTGCAAAAGAAAAATGAGATAAAAAGATGCTGTCTTAGCGAAAGGGAGGAAAACGGGATTGTAGTGTTTTGTTTACTCGGTTGGGATTCACGGTAATGAAAGAAATTGATTTGCTAACAATATTGCACTTCCTCTTGAAATTTGAGACTAAAAAGAAGCAATACCAAAGAAATAACTCACAATGGCAGCTTTCCACCAGAAAATTCTTTTTGGTTTAGTTGGACAAGTCATGAATCTGTTCATTGGATGGTGCCTAATAGCTAGTACTCTGTCTGATGACATGTACTTCTATAATGTTAGGAAGAACGTTAAAATATCTGTTTGCTTGTTATTCGAGGTATGTGGCTTCCGTATTTGCTGGGAACAATTTTTTTTGTCTGGTATGGCTGATGGATTTCCTTTGTATACTGCTAGCACTTATGTTTAATTATCTTTTATTGGGAAGTCACATACCATTGTTATGTTTGGCTTATACTCTTGGAAAGTGGTTTTTCCTAGTAAGAATTATGCATCTCAGATCTTCAAATGCAGATAATACATCATATCATTTCAAGTAAAATAAGGAAATACAGAAAATAAAATGATAATACTTTGAAACACCAATATTGGACTTGTAAGGGTTTCTCCTTTCGTTTATTGTTCTCAAAGCAATTTCTTAAAGGAGCTGTACGTTCGATTTATAGATGTATAATATATAAATAAATGATTTATATTGCATTCAGTGAAAGGTTTGTTTGGTTAGCAAGTACAGGTGATATCAGTGAAGAATAATATTTAGCTTACATATATACGAATTTCCATGTAACTTTTAGCGTTAAAAAATTTGTATTATAAGATATTCAAAAGGCTAAACATCAATCAACGAATTACATAAGACAAGTGTGTCAACAATAGTTACTACGTATTTATATATTTCAGATCAAGGTAAAAAAGAAAAAGTGAGAAATATAATATAAGGATGCGACCTTGCATTAGGAGAGCTATAGCATTAATGCCACAGCAGAAATTCTAAGCTGTATAATAGTTGTTTTCCGTATGAAGTCATGAATAATAATTGCTTGCCTGTAAATTGAATTGCACTCTTCTAGTACTTGTATAAATACTAAAGCTGCCCAGGAACTTTGAAAAATAAGGTAACAGCAAAGTTCTTACGCGACAAACAAAGCATTTATTTACTCGAACATGCTATTTTTCCTTTTCGTTTCTATTTTTCAATAAGGTTGATTAATTAATTTCTTTGAAATATTATCCTTTTTTTTTTGTTTAGAAGAGATTGGAGAATAAAATATAGTAAACATCAAGACCTATAATAATATCTCCCAGAGCGAATCGTTCTAGTACAAGCTATAACCATTTTTTATTAGCGAATGTTCTGTGATATATTTTCAGATAAGTCATACTCTCTGCTTATCTAATCCTATTAATCGAATTTTGTAGTAACGGTGATTCAATCATGAGTTCACGTCCAATTTCACCCCATTACCGCTACTATAACTGTCGGTGCTAACTATAGCTGCCTCTAACAAAATTAAGGGCTTTTCATGAACAACGTCGTAGGCATTTCCCCGCCTAAGGAAAGGACAGTGACCAAGGTGGAGCTCCGAAGGGGGTTAGTTGTTATTACCTACACAATTAGATTAGGTGAGCTATTTACCATCGTAATTAACGATGATTTTAGTAGAATCACAGTTGATGGATCCTCGCTAATTCATTATGAAAATCTTCAGAACCCCCTTTATCGAGTAGTCTAAAAGTTTTACTTATGGATCTCTTTTACGTAATGGTGTTACAAGCTCCATGCAAAATAGTGCTGAACCTTATTTTTACATTTCTGCCAAAATTACTTAGTACTTTTTCTTACCAGTCGATATCTTTTTAGGAAAAAAAAAATAAAATAAATAAATAAAAAATTATGCAATGAATGAAAACTAAAAAGATGCTAAAAGTATAAAAGATACAATGGCAGGTAAAGAGAAGCTCAAACCTTTTCTACAATTGCTTTTTTTGCGGGTACTTTCTTAAACTTCTGTTCCGTTGAAACTTTCTTTACAAAGAAGATTGCGATAGTACCAACGGCCATAGCAATAGTTGTAAAAAGCCAAATAGTCTTGTAGGCAGACGCATACGTATTTTTAATATGAATTTTTTCATCATTTGGGAGTTGCTGGATTTGCTTATATGATAACTTTGCGATCGAACTGTCTCCATGAAAGGCAGTAGTCACTCTTTGACTAAAAATTACCTCTCCTACAGTTATACCGATAGCTCCTCCAATGTATCTTATAAACATCAGTGTGGCTGTAGCTATCGACATTAAAGAGGGCGGGAATGATGCCTGCATGACAAGGAGTAAAGGCAAAAACATAAAGCCAGAACCAAACATAAAAATTGTAATTAAGCCCATAGCTTTCGAAAATGGTGAAAAGGCATCCAAGGAAATTAAGCTTCCCAGTCCTGCGGTACAGATGATGCCCCCTGTATAAAGCACTGTCCTATAACAGCCCAGCTTTTTGAGCACTATACCAGTTATTGCAGAACTGCAAATTAAAACGGCTCCACCAGGTAAAAAGTGCACACCAGCCATCAGAGGATCATCACCTCGAACCCTTTGATAATACTGAGGAATATGGTAAGCGAATAAATAGTCGTTTAAGTAAAGAACAAATGAACAAATCATAACGCTGATACTATTCATATTTTTGAATAGTATTGGAGGTAATACTGGATTTCTCTTGGTATGAAAATCGTATACCATAGCAAATATTACAAGAACTGCACCAATTATAATATAAGGCAAAACTCCGGGACGAGCCCAATGACCAGATTCACCTCCCAAAGATATACCCAATAGAAAAAGCACAACTCCTGTAATGACGCTAACAAGACCAAGAAAATCAAAAGTTTTAAGGAACACACGAAAGGATTGTCGTTTCACGGGTAGTACTCTCAAAAAGAAAATGATAAGACTGATTGCTATACCACCAACAGGAAGATTAATGAAGAAAATCCATCGCCAAGTGGTCCTTTCACAAATGATACCGCCGAGAACTGGACCAAGGACAAGAGCGATACCCCAAGCCGAAGCAGTTAGAGCGGTATACATTGGGCGGGTTTTTAAAGGAGTGATTTCGGAAATAATAATGTTAATTAAAGAGCTGATTCCACCGGCTCCAGCACCCTGAATAGCTCGTGAAATAATTAGCATAATCATGTTTTGACTAGCACCACTGAGAGCACTACCCAGCATAAAGAAAAAGACCGATGCATATAGCATATGCTTTCGTCCCAAGATGTTAGAGAGAACACCCACCGCCGGAAGGACTGCGTTTGTAGCGAGTGTATAGGAGGTACTTATCCAAAAGGAACGGGAAGAATCGTGGAAATGTTGGGAGATTGTAGGGACGGCAACGGTAACGATAGTATTATCTAAAGCAGCCAAAAAAAGGCATGAAACGAGAGCTGGGACTACCAAATACATATTATTTTCAGGAATTAGTTGGATATCTTCATTGTTTTCCTTTTCTTCACAGGAGTCATCCTTTTTGTGACTATCCGGATCAGCTTTTTTCTCTTTTTCACTTAACGATTTTGGTATTGGCGATTTATTCCCTGATATTATTGACATCGATGCTTTATCCGATTTCTCGCTATTAGTAATTACTTTATTAATATTTCGTTCAGTATCTACATCGACGGACTCTGGCAACGCATCATTTATGGGAGGGCTCTCGCTGGTTGCTGCTGCTGCATTTTGCTCTGAGTGAGCTAAATTATGATTCGAAGGAAGAGATTCATGCATGGTATACAACAAAAACAGCAGAAAAAAAAGATAGATAGGGTAGGTGTGTTAACTACAGTCAAGCACTTCCCGAACAACTACATAAGTAATATGCAGTGATATTCAACTGTGAATACGATGAAAACAAACCAAAAACCCAATGCAATAACCGTGGACCGAAATTAGAAGAAACCAAACAACCCAATGTGATTTTGATTTTAAAAAGACGTTGAGCGTAAACAGTGATTAAATAATTAAAGAAGAAAGATCAATAAACTTTTGATCCCTTCCCCTGAGGTTTTGAATAAAAGGAAATAACCAAACTAAATTCCAGCAGTGTAACGTCTATAAAAAGAATATCCCTGTCCTTCTTTGCATGTCAATATATATAAATAACATAAGAAGCGGGGAAATCAGATTATTTAATTTATCGGAGTTATGGAATTCTATTGGATAAATTAAGTCAAAATAGCCGAATTACCTTACGAATCACAACTAAACCTTAATTCATATCAAATGTCACCTCTGATAAGCAAAACACCGCTGTTTCTACGGACTGGCTATGGTATTTTAGTCCAATATCTCGTTCCAAAAAATTAAAGTTTATCGAATTTCCACTCAAGGAAGTTAAAGAATACGACATTTATGTTTTGGTAACCACGTAATCATTCATAAGCGAGAGGGAACGAGTAACGTTTTTACATGTTATGAATTTGGTTCTTAGAGTTTTGGCGTAAACTTCTTGCAAATTTCAGAAGAAATTCCGAAACAGAAAATTATTGCTTATTATATTGGCTTATTATATATTTTGGAAGGTTCCATAGAAATTGAGCAGGTGATATATTATAATCAATACCTTATGTTTTACTATAATTAGAAGTCTCATACATTTGCCTGTACGTTCTATGAAAAGGGTATAAAAATTTTTTTGCCAGGATTGCTTACAATGTTTATTTCGCTCAATCATATAATAAAGATTCTTTATGTAGTCTATTAACCTACATAATTTATATGTTCTGGACGTCTCGTCTTTCAAAAAAACTCTGTTGCGTTAGTGAAATTGAGTTGAATCATGTTTAGATTATCAGCTACACAAATTGTCATAGTAAATAAACTTCAACTTAGAATGACAAAAGGAAGTAATCTAATCTTATAATAATGACTTTTAATGATATTAAACAAAAGGATGGATCGGTCTAGTCCTTAAGTTCAAAAGTGCATTATATATCGATGATAGGATATGTAAACAGCCATTTTGATCGTACAGAATAGGAAATGAAGGCAAAAAAAATAAATTAGTAGTATTCTTGTGTTTTTTTGGGGTGAGGCATTTATGAAGAAAGTCGCAGCAAATCTTATACTCTGAAAGTTGTATGATTTTTACAATAGAACTCTTTAGATGAATCCGTCTCCATTAGAAGTCTTATTTAGTATGTAAAGAAGAAACTCACTAATCTAAGAACCGTCCTTAAAGGATTCTGGAATTCAACGAACTACCTCATATATAGGATTTTCAGAATTTTGAAACTTCGACTGAAGATATTTGGTTTTAAATAAATCTTCAGTATACAGGGACATTTAAGCTCTATTCTGCCAGGTAATTGCAAGAATTGTTAATGATTCTCCTAAAAGTTAACAGTGACGTCATACATTATCCTGTAATGGAAATGACTTTGAACACTTTGAGTATATTGCTACTAGAGTCAAGACAATATGATAAGTGCATTTGTACTTCCCGAATTGTACAAAAAAAAATGTAAAGCACAACAATCTAAGTGTTCTTAAACGAAGCAAAATCTTGAAGGAAAAAGAAAAATTGCTAATGAAAATCGTTAATTTAGAATAGTTATAGTATGCCACCACTTCATCACAAGCTTTAGTAACAAATGAACCAAACTATTGCAGATATTGAATGAGCAAACAACAAGGAAGACTCCAGCTTATACGATAAAATAAACAAAACTAAATATTTATGTTTGTGCGACTACATTTTTACAAACGTAAATCAAATACATGTCTAGACAGTTAACAATTGGTGACGTCTTTTTTATTAAGCATAACGATAATAGTAACTTCTCTTAATCTAACCAAAGATGGAATTTGTTTCTCTTTGTACAGGAAAAAAATTTAAAAAGCAGTGTGCAAAAGTTCATGGACGAATAATAGGAGATGTGTCGGTTTACGGACCAAACTCGGATACCTTTTACTCAGGAGGTTATTATAACATACCTGGCGAAGAGCAATGGTTTTTGAACGTTATGAAGGATATTAGAGCCCATAATGTAATAGAAGGAAAAATCAATGCAAAAAAGAGCAAAAGATACCTTGTAACTTGGGATGGCCCTGATGACCCTCTAAATCCTAGAAATTGGTCTCGAATAAAAAAATGGTGGATAATTATTCAAATTTGTATCATAACCATTACAGTTACGTTTTCATCTAGTGTTTACTCAGCTGGAGTTCCCAATGTGGCACAAACTTTCCATTCATCCATTCCTGTTGCATCCCTTGGCACTTGTACTTACCTGGTAGGCTTCGCCATGGGTTCTTTACCATTTGCACCTCTGAGCGGTATCTATGGACGACTTATTGTTTATATTATTACTCTATTAATCTTTACTTTGTTTCAAATAGGTGGTGGCGTGGCTCAGAATATTTGGGTGATACCTATAATACGTTATTTTCAAGGTTTCTTTGGTAGTACACCCTTAGCTAATAGCCTAGGAACTGTCAGTGACATCTATAGTCCAGTAGAGTATACATTTACTGTCCCTGTCGTTTGTGCTTTCCCTTTTCTCGGTCCGGTCATAGGGCCTATCATCGGTGACTTCATAGCTCAAAGTCACCTTGGATGGAGATGGACATTTTGGATCACTATGATACTTTCAGGATCTGTTGTTTTGCTTATTATGTTTACTCTTCCAGAAACGCACGCAAACACAATTCTCTACTATAAGGCTCGCTATCTTCGTGAATTGACAAAAAACCCTTTATGGTATTCAGGCAATGAAAAGCAACGTGATCCCAAGAGAGCAATTGTACGAGCGTTCACAAATTCTATTTCGTTGCTAATATCAGAACCAATTGTTGTTTGCTTTACCCTTTATGTAACTATTCTGTTCGTTATTGTTTACATCAACTTTGAAAGCTACCCTGTTGTGTACTCTCAGTATAATTTCAACCAGGGTGAGCAGGGTCTTTCGTTTATTGGTATAGGTATTGGTATTGTTTTGGCTGCTTCTTTCACTCCAATCACATACTATAAATATTCGAAAGCTTACAAAAAGATGAATGGAAAGGTTCCTCCGGAGTATCGAATATATCCACTCTTTATTGGATGCTTTCTTTTACCAATAGGCTTATTTTGGTTTGCTTGGACATGTTATCCCAATAGAATCCACTGGATAGTTCCCATGATTTCTAGCGTATTTTTTGGAGCTTCGTTGTTAGTTATTTTCTCAACCATGTTTACCTATTTCGTTGATACTTATCAATCTATGGCGCCCAATGCAATGGCCGCCGCTACGCTCGTGCGATACCTGGCTAGCGGAGGAATGACTATGGTTGCACGACCAATGTATCATAATTTGGGTAATCATTGGGCTACAACGGTGCTTGGTTTTATTTCCGCTGCTATGATTCCCATTCCTTTTGTGTTTTTTAAATACGGCCAAAAAATACGATCGCATAGTAAGTATGCTTCCAAAGGATAAAGTTGAGAAAAAAGAAAAACAAAATTAGGAAAAAAGAAACTTGGATCATTTTTACATTCTTCTATCATTTATAATTTAGCATTTAGAGGTAAAAGAAGTTAGCATAATAAATTAACTTTATAAAGAAGACAAAAGCATCCCTACTTTATCAACTTCATAACAAATGGGTGGATGTAACTTTCAGCGAAACAATTGCTTGCAAAATAGAGATTTCTCAATGTAAACATTAGGTGAATTCAATACATCAAGAGTTTTACTTCTTATAAGAAGATATGAAGCAAAGGTGATTAATTTTCAAGCAGCCTATTGTCTTATTGATAAAATATAAGTTGCTTTTCTAGCCTAATGCCAGTATCCTTCTAAACTTATTATCCATTTTTTAAGGAGACTGACATTCTCAATAATAAAAAAAATAAATAAATAAAATAAAAAACCCCCAAACCATAAAAGGAAATTGCACTAACATTAACTTCCATTTTCTAAATAGTATTTTTTGAAAACTATATTCCATTACATAATTATTACCTCTCTTCGAGGAGGCATAGTTTCCATCGTGCCAATTGTAAGAAGTATGTACTGACAGAATGAATGATAAAAAGGAACATGAATTCTATCTCTTACTAACGCCTTATTAAAACATTCCTTGCTCATTAACTCTTCTTATTTGCTTTTCTCAACCAGCGATCTTTTATATAATGAAACTAATTAACTTATTTAGCAAACGAGAACGAGCGTTTTGTGGTAAATCTTGTACTTTCTTTTATAAAAATGAATTGATTTGAATTTTATAATAATCCTTAGAAACCGGAAGCTGGAAGCATAGCAAAATAAAAATTTTGCTTTTCCATTTTAGCAATCGCGGATCAAACGCAATTTGTTCCAATTTCCTCTTCGTTGGCATAATCCCTTCTTCGGTTAGAGTTTTTACATAATATATGAAAAGAATAAAAACCTATCGAAAATTTATTTTATTTATTTATCTTAGCCAAACCAGTCGAATCTTCCAACCTGAATTATCGATTGTGCATAAACAGTTTATATAGATTTTTTTTGAAATAGATGACGTAAAGTGCTTCTTTACAGTCAGTAATTTCTTTGTTAACTACTTTTCCTTTTTGAAAGAGGCTCCTTTTAAATCATAAAAACGTATTTCTTTGATTTGCTTACCTTGTACGTCGTTTCTAGAGGAACATTTCGATATCACATACTAAGCTAGTATATATAATTTTAACCAAACGCGTTCTGTAATACCGAAACCAGCATACCGCCCGACGACCATCAATGCGTTAACAATCGTCAAACACTTTAACGGAGTCGAAGGAATCCCTAATTCCACTTATCTTTTCGCACCGTTGTTTTGACAACAGGGGGACCTCCCTAGCAAGTGTCCCAACTTAAAAAACAAACAAAGCAACTACCAACACCTTTTCATTGTGATTAATAGTTGCTACACACTTCGCTTTCGCTGACCCTTTTTCAAGAATGAGTCAAGATTTATTTACGAACCCATTTGGAATTCCTCCACCATCTGATGATTCTGATGCTTCCTTAAGCCGTTTCATAGCTGAATTCTCACAGGCGATTCCCCAGGATCAGTTTGATTCGTTTAGAAGCAAGTTGACGAGCCTTTATGAAGCAGTTGCATCCAAACTTCGAGGAGAGACTCGTCCACAAGATGACATGTCTGAAATTCGTGGGATGCTTCAAGAGCTTAGAGAAGAGATGATTCAAGGACAAAATAGCCTCCAAGAAGGACAAATAAGGCTAGATGGGAAACTTGATAATTTGAACAAAAGTTTTCTGAATAATACGAGTGATTTCTATTTACAATGCAGCAAAATTGATTCCAAAGTTAACAAGACAAGGACCTCAGCACAGAGATCTGAAAACATAATTAATAGAAAAGCCGCCAGGGATACAAAACCGATTCCATTTGTTAATGGACAGGAACCTCCTGCTGAGCTACCTGAGTTAAAAACTATCTCCGACGTTGACAATTTGAATCCACAGCAACTGAAAACGTATGCGGAGGGATATGGGTTTAAGTATGACGAGAATGAGCCCCAAAAGTCTCTTAAAAGAAAGATATCAGACTCTGCTGGTCTTATTACGGCCCATGATACTATATTTAATTTTTCAGGAGGTGATGAAACCCTTCAAGATGCAGAGAATCAAACTAGTACACCAAATCAAAGGGCAGGAAGAATTAGATCTCGTCGTTATTAGCATATGTTTACGAACAAGATGTTATCCTAAAATTCCGTACCGCCATAGTCTAAGAAAAATGATTTAAAGCTTCTTTATTCGTTTAAATTTCCTACAAAGTTTGAATTTACTTTTAAAACAACTCTACGAATATTCAAATCATGAATTTCATGTAACACTTAATATCTGCGGCTGCCAAGATTTTCCCATTTAAAGGGGTTTTACTTTAATGGCTAAAGTGTGCTTAATATGTTGACAGCCATCTCTATTTTCAACATCCGACTGCTATTATGATGCTGGTAGTATTGTAGGTGTTGACGAAATTTCACAAGTGGCTCGACGGATTAGTTACGGATACAATCACGAAAGTCGTGATATTCACATTCCATTCTAAATTATTCTAGAAATGAATCCTTAAAGCATAATTACGAGCGTGGAAATCACGCTGCAGCCGTGACAACACTAAATAATCAGGTTCGATACAGCAAATTTCAAAAGTCAGAGAAAAATTTCTGCCCAAAGTTCTGACCTTCTAAATTTTCTACTTTGAGACTTCCCAAGAAAAGGAGAAAACAATATTGATAAGCCTAAAATAGATAAAGTCGTCTCTTTAAACAAGATCGATGTGGAAGATTTTTCAACATACCACGAAAAACAACCTTCTCAACATCAAGATGTTAAAATTGCAAACCTCGAGGTCAATGCATTCACTAGCGCCAATGCATCCATCATGAGAGAGGATATGGCCAAACAAATTACCCGTAAATGTAATAGAGAAAACCGAACGTTCCTAGGAATAACGAATGACAAACTTGAAATTAAAGGAAATTTAAGACTACCGGTAGAAATAAATAATCGAAGATTTTATGAAACATTCATAATTACTCCAATTTCGGAAAATGAAGTTCCCATCGGTTGGAGCCTCTAAAAAAAATTGGGAAATTTAGATTTCTTATATGGCTACATGACAATGGAGGAAAATTATAATCACGATAAAGAAAATAAAAAGGCCCAGGACATATTATAGCCATCCAATAAGTTATTTACAGACAATATCAATATACCGTTACCCCATCACTCTAATAGCGATTTAGATAATAAACTGACAAGAGAATTGCCAGATTACAACCAAAATTAAGGCTTTATAACTTAAAAGAATCATCGATAATGGCAGAAAAGGTGCAAGAATTTCGAAAGTTTATCAAAATTTATGTGCGCACCATTTATAGTTCCAAAGAAAGGAACAGATAAATATCGCATGGTTATAAACTATAAATCATCAAACGCGATTACGAAGAGGGATAGCTACCCATTACCGATTTCGAAGAAATAATCAACTGGCTATGCGGAGCCAAGTTTTTAGTACAATCGATTTGAAAGAAGCATATCACTTGCTCAGAATTAAAGAAGGCAATGAACATAAAACTGCTTTTATTAATCTCCTTTTGGAGCATGAATACAGTGTAATGCCGTCTGAATTAACAAGCGCGCAAGCAATTTTTCAGAGATATATCAAAAGGTACTTCTGCCTTTGCTTAGCATTTCTGTTATTGTTTACTTGGACGATAATCTCGTATTTTTCTCATAGAAAAAGAAGCATGTAATTGTTGATGGAATGAAAAATTGAATAATTAATATGATTAGCAAAACTATATGTATTTATTATTCTACAGTAAGAATCTTCAGACTGGAAGATTCGACTGGTCTGGCTAAATTCGTTTTCCTACTTTCAATTTAGTTAATCAGATCCCTGGACATATTACTATTCTTCTACGTAGTACTAACACGTCCAATTGAAACATACGATCTGTAATTGAACTTATTATTATTGCAATCGATATGCATTCTCATAACATGTGAGATTTCTACCGTGACACCTTGATCATTTCATATTCGTAAAATTTTTTTTTCTGATGGAAAGTTACATACATTTAAACCGTTCAGAAAATTTTTCGATAAACAATTTATACTTACTATAGTTACTCGAATTAAGCGATATTAAGACCTACCACTTAGTGATTGTTTGCGCTGACCAAACACCATTAGTAAGCTAGCAACTGAAAATTTTTCCATTCCCCTTCAACCCATCCTTACCGAAAATGTATATAACAGCATAATTTACGCATAGATTCAAATGGTTTGAGCTTATTTCCGTATTTTGAAGACCGGTAAACCAACTTTTACACTTTAGTACTTTCTTTTAAAAAAATGACAGCTGGCTTAGAACAATCAAATTTATTTAAACCGATTACTGTTGGTAAAAATACACTGGATCAAAGGGTAGCTTTTGCTCCTACAACAAGATTCCGTGCTGCAGATGATCATACTCCAAGCGACTTGATGCTTCAATACTATTCGGATAGAGCACAAGCTCCTGGTTCGTTGCTCATTACGGAAGCCACCTTCATTTCTCCTCGCGCTGGCTTATACCCTAACATTCCTGGTATTTGGAATGACAAACATGTTCAAGGATGGAAAAAGATTACTGATGCAGTACATGCTAAAGGTAGTTATATGGCGTGTCAATTTTGGTTCTTAGGAAGAGTTGGATCCCCAGAGCTTTTGAAAAAGCATGGCTTGGATTTGATTTCTCCTTCTGCTTTATACCAAAGCGAAGAATCTAAGAAGGCTGCAGAAGCTGCAGGCAATCCTGTGAGAGCATTGACTGAAGAAGAAATCAAGGGCATTATTTATGAAGATTACAAGAATGCAGCAATTAATGCTATGGAAGCTGGATTTGATTACGTGGAAATTCATAGTGCTCATGGATACATGCTTGATCAATTCCTACAGCCCGCTACGAATCAAAGAACAGATAACTATGGTGGTTCTATTGAGAATCGTGCAAGAATCGTGCTTGAGATTATTGACCTCTTGAGTGATACAATTGGCGCTGAAAAGCTTGCAATCAGATTGTCTCCTTGGATCAAATTCCAAGGAATGAAAGCTGAAGAAGATACTGTGCATCCTATTACAACCTTTAGTTATGTGGTTAATGAGCTCCAAAAACGCGCAAACGACGGTAAGCAGCTTGCTTATCTTTCCATTGTGGAGCCTAGGGTCCAAGCACTTTTAGATGCAAACTGGTCTGATAATGTTGGTTCCAATGACTTTATCAAGAAATTATGGAAGGGGGCTATTTTGCAAACTGGTAATTATACCTATGACAGCCCAGAGTTTAAGGGTTTGAAGGCTGACGTTAATGGTGACGACCGTACTATGATTGGATTTTCGAGATATTTTACTTTCAAATCCAGATTTAATTGATAGATTAAAAAAGGGTCTTAGAAGCTTACTCCTTAACGTTCGTTCTTGTTCTATGCTAATAATAACTA